CCTCCCTGCCCGCTGCTCTGCCCCGCCCCGAGCGCTTGCCCACACATGCGGCCCAGCCGCGCCCTACACTGCCCTCGACAACTTGGGCCTTATTCAAATCTCATTCGACCTGGCCGTGTGTTTCACGACCCCTTGCTCTCGGTGCCGCACCTCGCCGCGGGTAGAGGAGCACCCGTCTCCATGGCGCTCGCGCTCCACCGGGCGGGCGGGGCCTGCAGCAGGCTGAGGGTCAGGTTGGCAGGCACTCTTCCCCCGCCCACCTTGGGGGTCCTGAAGTCCACCGGGACCCTCCCGGGATGCCTTCTGAGCACTCAAGCCCTGCCCGGGGCGGCGGGGCGGGGCGGGCCCGGCGCGCAGCGGCGCCTTGTGGCGCGTCGGGCCCGCCCCCCGGGGGGCCCCGGAGCACAGTGGACAGGTGTGCGACTCGCGACAGGTGGGGCCTCTGTGCCGTGTCGCTCCGGGCTCAAACATTCGCTGTTTGTGTTGACAGCTCGTCAATAAAAAAAAGAGCGGCGTGCTGCGCGAGGCGAGGAAGAAGAGCCGCGGGAGGGACAACAGAGACAAGACGCAACAACGACCTTGTCAGTGGCCCGCCGCAGCCGAGCCGAGCGGAGCAGCGCTGGACGCTTCGGCTGAACGGCTGATAACAAATTCATTTCCGCGATCATCTATTCATGGCGCTGGACGAGGCCGGCCGGCCCACAGCCCGAGTCCCACCCGGACGGTTCTTGATGTTCGAAGCAAACGGGCGCCGATGATCGGCGGCAATGATGTCGAGTGGTGTTAGTTGGAGCGGGAGACGCTCGCCGGGACAAGGGCGAACTCCTCGGCGAGCGCGGAGTGCGAAACTGGCAGACCGCAAGGCGCGGAACTTGTCGCGGCTGCCGCCGGGGCTCGGGGCTCGGCGGCGGCGGTAACGACGAGCTGATCACACGGCCGCGAGATCCTCCCCCCGCCAAGGCCTCCGTATTCACAACGGGAGTTGGACCAAGTTTGCCAGCCGGAGCCCCCGAGCGCGCGCTAAGACCGCATTGAGCGGCAAGTTTGCTCGATTGAACTGCAGGTGCAAAGTAGCAGTCGTCTCCCCCACGTACCCCAATAACTTGAAAGGTAATAGCATGTAAAGTATTGGCCCCAGCGAGAGGTCCCTTTTGCGCCGCCGAGTGCCTTCCTTCCTTGTTCCGCTGCACGTCCGCCACACCTTCTATCAGAGCTTGCTGCTCCCACTCTTGTTTCCTCTCTCATTTCCTTTTCCTTTTCTCCGCCGCCCCTTTCCTCCCGCCAACCCCCCATCCAAACCCGTCTGCGTCCCCGACAGAGCCGTTGAGTACTGTACATCGTACTCCCACGACGAAAGATGCATCTTCAAGTTGGAGTAGCAGCGCCGGTAAGTGCTCTTCCGCGCCAACACCTGCGCGTGGTCGGTACCGAGCGCGGGGGGCGAGGGGGTCGTAGGGGTCGCGGTCTTGCTGGTACTTCATGATACCATCTGGTTCTGCTGATCCTGCTGTTCCTGCTGGTCCTTACTGGTGCTTCTGAACTAACTAGCGCTGCTGGTCCTGCTGGTCTTGTCTGTCCTGCTCGTGCCACTGGTGCTGCTGGTGCTG